TAATGTAGATCTCTCCGCCCTATAATACAGTGATGATGTTAACGACGATGATCTTACTTCACTTGAAGATTTGTTTAGGACGTACCATAGATTCTGTCTCGATTGCGATGGCCAATACCGGCCCGTACTTCTCTTCACATTCGCCTTTGACGTCATCTCGAAGCTCCATATCCCACCCTCTTTCTGTCTCTTCTTCTGGATTGAACATATTTTTCAGCAAAACAGAGCGCGACGTGGCAGTGGGAATATTGGGACGGAACCTAAAAATCGAGCCGTCTCGATGGTATCAATACTTTGGCTGAAAAGTGCTTCGAGATTAGGAAAATATGAGAAGCCTCCACTCACATATCAGTCACAGGCACATTAGTAGGTTGTTCTGTTCGAGCTAGCTTGTGCATCAGCTCCACTCTAGAAATCTGGTTCATGCCGGACCCCACTAGGAAAGCCAATGAATGGCGTCAGTAGCATAAACAGACGGTGTCGATAAGTTGAAGAACACTCAACCTGGTTCTTCTAGTCGTTCCTCAAAACTGTTAGAGTTCGTCATGGCAAAATTGCCACCTGTAGGAGTGACAATGACCGGGTTAATCACACCAGGAGCTGTCGCATTGAGTAGGGCAGCTGGCGGTTGGGCCTTGATCTGAGTGAGGGGCAATTAGCATACATATGTTGATGGTCTGTTCAGAATCAAAGGCACAAACCTCAACACGCAAAGCACGACCAGCCAGCTGGAACCCATTCATTTTTTCCATCGCATTTTTGGCATCGTGCATATTTTTGAATCTAATGTTCACGCATGTTAACAACGTCTAGAGTACAATCTTGATATGCAGTGAAAAAAAAACTTACTGAACAAAGGCGTAGCCTTTACTTTTGCCGGTAATCTGGTCTCTATGAAGGTCAACGTACTCAATATCACCGAATGGTTGAAAGACCTGCCGCAAATCGTCATCTGTAAGATTGAAGTTGAGAGAGCCAACATATAGTCGAGCATAGCTGTTGGGATCGTTTGGGCCTGGGCCACTGAAGAAACAATGTGTCAAGAGTGTCACCTGAATCTGTAGCTAGTCGTTGGACTTACCGTGGCTTGGGAGCTACATATGATCTCTGGACAGGTGGAGGTGGTGCGACAGTCACTAAACCCGCAGCGACATTGTTGGGCTGGGTGTTGGCCATGGCTTGACGATTCTTTTCGGCTTCGGTATATTGAACCATGACTGGCAAGCCAAGCAACTTCGTACCAGTCAGTGCCAATGCTTTCTGAACACTGTCTAATTCGCGAAACTCTACGTATCCCACGCTAGAGAGATGGAAGAACTGTGAGTGTGAATTTGGCTACGTAGGAATTGAGGAAAGTCACAAACCCTTTGGAACGGCGTGATATCCTATCCGTGATCACTCGCGCGTCTCGGACTTTGCCTGCCTGTTGCTCGAAGAATTGGGAGAGTTCGCGATCGCCCACACGAGCGGAAAGTTGAGAGACAAAAACGGAACGCATCTCATGTTCTTCCTCTGTCAAACTAAGGGTGAAGAACGTCAGTCCGGGTATCGGAGGGAGAGGTTGGAATGAGCTCACTGAGGGCTGGAGGACCGGCGGGCTGTCGGTGAAGCTGTCTGCTCATAGGGACGGTAGCGTGGGCTACGGCGATCAGGACGTCGGCGCCTGCAATTGGGATATATCAGCGGCTATCGAAAAATTTGGACAGTGCAAAGTGAACATACTTGTCTTCCCCTTCGGCTTCTTCGTACCTCCTGCGTCGTTCAATTTCTCTGTCATCTATAGGATCATCGGGACGGTGACTCCGATCTCGAGATCGGTCCTTACTCCTGCTGCGATGCCGCTTACGGTATCTTTCACGCTCCTCATCAACTGGATCATTAGATCGATGTCCGCGTTTATGATCGCGCTCGCGGTCTCGATCCCGGTGTCGCTCGCGCTCGCGGTCCCTATCACGCGGTCGATCTCGATCTCGTTCCCTTTCATGGTCTCTTTCACGGTCTCGTTCACCATCACGATCAACTCTATCACGATCTCTATGATCACGATCACGACGTCTGTCACGGTCGCTGTGAGTGCGTTCCAAGTCACGTGAAGTCGAACGATGCCGACGATGACTGCGACGGCTAGTATGACTGCGGACATCGGAATCTTTTCCGGGAGAACGATCGATAGGGCGTCTGGAATGGAGTGATAGTGTTCAAGGAATAAACGCCGGCCAGTTCGTCAGTAGCCTTGATGAGATATGATAAGTTCATAACGCACTCATGACGCTCGGACCGTTCGCTTTTACCCTGTGATAAGATGTTTGGTTATTAGCGGATGAAACAGATATGACCGGGGTAGAGATGTATCAGATGCTACATCACATACGTTATCCCTATCCCTCTCACTACGCTCACGATGTCGACGACTACTATCTCTATCAGTCTCGCGAGACTTATCGTCTGACCTGCTAGACCGCTCTTTCTCTCGACGATGTCTTGAGGAACCATTTGTTTCTTTTTCATGATGAGATGTTGATTTTTCCTCTGGACCTGTTACTGAAATCTCTTCACTTTCTTCATGTCCGCTTCGGATCGTCATGTCAGCTTGCCTATCATCGGTTTTGGTTTCTTCCTGAGGATGGTCAGTCATCGAATCATCCTTTGCTTTACGAGGTGGTGGTGAAGATGATTTGGAAGGTGGAGAAGCCATTGGTTGATCGGATGACATGATCAAGCGAGAATGTATGCTATGAAAGATGAAGTTGGGTTTCAAACGATTTCAACTTTCACTGCAGATCGACATTCTCGAACATCAATTTCAAATCTGATTCAAGTGGTTTTACCAAACTGGGTTAGGGTTAAGTCGGCATCTCTAAGTGCAATACAGCTTATGAAACCTGAGCTCAAACACATAAGGGTTTTGTCTGGTTTTATCTCGATTCTCATGGGTCCGAGAAAGAAAGTGGGGAGGCGTCAAGGAGCGTGCCGTGTCATCGAGTGCGGCTACAGGTGCGCGAGTGAAACTTTTGAACAAGGCGCGACTGGACAGACTCTGCGTGGGGGATGCAAAATGACAATCCAAGAGGAAATGGATGAAAGGGTCCTCGCCGTGGCACCAGCCGATCGATATAAGCTCTTGAAATATGAAACTTGAACCATGCTAGACAGAAAAAATGCCCTTGCTTGAATTCTTGCATGTTCATGTGTCCACATCGGCAGCCGCACAGAGTAATTACAACCACAAAAAAAATCCAAATCCATCAGTAAAAAAACAAGACTTTTGAAATTTGTTTTGCTGAGGATAAGTTTGGATAGTCATCAACAAGACGACCTCAAAAATTATCTCAATTTGCTTTGCGACTTGTGGCACAGTTTTTGAAAAAATACCCAAGTGGTTCTTGCTATCATCAACCATGAATTTTTCACTTCTTCTGGTTCTGTTGATGGTTATACTTATGTGTAATTCAAATCCATCCAAATCTTCAGCACAATTCTGTGGTGGTAAACACGTCATACCTGCATTTATCAAATCTCCAAGAAATCCTCATACAATGAAGAATGTAACCTCAAGGTACAAAACTGACAAACCAGTTCGAACTTCGGAATGACTGTTCCCTTCAGCCATCTTTCCCAATTCTTCAAAGAAAAAAAAGGCACAGAAAAAAGAACCAAAGAAAGTCTTGCACGATATAAATGAGAAAGAAATGGTACATGGGTTGTACCTGATTTGAAATCAGACTGGAAATGAGGTCCAGGACGAGATGATAGAACACACTGGATTGATAATCTTGGCATCCCTACATCT